GAGAGAGAGAGAGAGAGAGAGAGAGAGAGAGAGAGAGAGAGAGAGAGAGAGAGAGAGAGAGAGAGAAAGAGAGATATGGATGGAGGGATGGATATGGAAATAGAAATGGAAATAAGGGCCCTTCTTCCTCCACTTCCCCTCCTCCGCCAGGAGCAACTCTGTTTCTCTATCAGAACTGTACTCTGTTGTGACATCTTCGAAGGTACATTCGGTGGGTGCCACGCCCCGGGTTATAAGAGCTGCCTGTGGCTGGGATGGGCTGGATTTCCTCGTGCAGTCAATCATCAGCTCTGGGTCACTGTTGGGTCTCTGCAGCTCTCACTTTGGGTTCTAGGAAGGAGAAACAGAAAACCCTCCCACCATAGATATCAGTGCCAAGAGACCCCACTCCCCATGGTCGGTCCATGTTCAGCTAAAGTATAGTCTGCAGGGAGACATCATAAAATGGAAGCATCACAAAATGCGGACACATAATATAAAAACCATTCAGTCCTTGAAATACCAGAGAAGCAGCGAGCTCGGGCAGCATTTTTGAAGTTGTGTTGGGTGGATTGTTCCTGTCCCTCCGGAGCTCCCAGTTATTTCTGTGGTCATAGTTAAAGAAGCTGTGCACACTGTCCAGACGAGTATGCTGTTTTTGAGTCAGTATATGTGGTGCCCAACTTTGTGGAAAGAAAGCTTGGTCCAAGTCCTAGAAGTTCTACAGTTCAAAGAAAAAAATGAAACAGCAAAAACAACAAACCAAACACCAAACACCCAATTTTATCTAATTCAGCATTTCCCAAACTTTTCTGACTATGAATTTCTTCCTTGCATTCCACAGAGTTCCCCTATACCAGGCACCTGGGTTCCATGCAGCACACTTTGAGAAATGCTGAGTATGAATGAGAGAGTGAAGTTCAAGGTGTGAAGAAAATTGTGCATTTCTGTAGCTTGGTCCTGAACCTAATGGCTGCAATGAGCTTTGACAAGTCAGGTAACCTCTTTGGCCCTCAGTTTCCTCTTCTGTAAAATAATGATTCCTCCATTTCTACATACCTGTGTGACTCCTGGTTGGAAGGGAAATGGCAGTGGCCCCAATACACTGAGAGTTTCTAAAATTTGTGCTTCTGAAGATGGAAATGATCACACATTTACACTGAAAGTAGATTGTAGACTTTTGTCTACAAGTGAACAAAATCAATTGACAAGAGGAAGCAATATTCCCCTCTCTTTGTGTTTGGTTTATAAATCACTAATCACGCCAGTCCTGTGGCTACTTGTGTCTTTGCTTTGCTTAATCTGTGGAAGAGTTGCACGATGGTTCTCTTTGCGTTTCATGGAAAAGACTACAAAGACTTTTGTTTTGTTTTAACTTAGGTAATAAAGAAATTTAAATACTGAAATATTCATTCAGAACTTTAAACTAAAGGAGGTTCTAGAGATTTCCAGGGCAGATAGTCTCCTCTAAAGAGCAGAGTGCATGAGTTAGGGACCCACAGTAATAAATGGTGCAAGTTGTAAAGCGTAGACCTGAAGTTTTATTTCTAAATAGTTATAAAGGGCAGTGGCAGAAGTGGTCAGGAGATTATCAGGGCATTTTTTCTTTTTTCCAAAATCCCTATCTCCTTCACTTGGAGTGGAAATGTAAAAAGAAATAAAATTACTATAGTTTTTTTTTTTTAACAGTGCCAGGAATTGAACCCAGAACCTCTTGCATGTTAGGTAAGCACTCTACCACTGAGCTATATTCCTAGCCCTTTTTATTTTATTTTGAGTCAAGGTCTTACTAAGTTTCCAGGCTGGCCTCCAACTTGTGATCCTTCTGTCTTAACATCCTGAGTAGCTGGGAATATGGGCATATACCACTGTGTCCAGCTTTGTAAATGCCTTTTCTTGGGCATTTACAAAGGAAATGCTTCAGATGGAAGACAAGGATATGTGGTCTTGCAGTTTGACATTACTGACCATCCACCTTGCCCATGCCTATCTATATTCCTTTGTTCAACAATGTTTTTTTTTTTAATATTTATTTTTTAGTTTTCAGCGGACACAACATCTTTGTTTGTATGTGGTGCTGAGGATTGAACCCGGGCCACACGTATGCCAGGCGAGCGCGCTACCGCTTGAGCCACATCCCCAGCCCCTTGTTCAACAATGTTTAGCCAACAAATTTTGCTTGAACACCTACTATGTGCCGGATGTTTATTCCCATCAAGTGCAAAGTCCTCTTTCCAAGCTCTGAGGCTCAAGTTTTATTTACTCTGTGCAGTCTTCTTGATATTTCCAGCCTGCCTTAATTGATTACTTGGTAAATTTTAAATTGGTATAGCTGGGGTTACACAATTTAGCATTCATTATGTATTGCTTTGTTGCTGTGGTTTCATATGAATGTTAACTCATTTGTGAGCCTCAGGGGAGCAGGAGCTATGTCCTAACAACCTTTTCCTTGCTCATGCTGCACCTATGTATACAATTCACCAAATGAGAGCAAATCACCAGAGTCTGGGAAATCCTTCAGATGACCGGTTCTGTTTTTGAGTCAATAGTATATGTGCTGCCCAAGCACCGCAGCATCTATTGGTAACATCTCTCTTTCAGTTGGTTTCTGTTTGTTTCAGAATTAGAGGGTCTGATTTGGGGTTTACACCAATTTGTTATTGATGATGTTGTGCATTAGGATTTGTTGAATTATACAGAATTGAGTGCCTTTCTGGGTGGTCTGAATTCATCTCCAAAGGCAAGTTGCACTGATGTGGTCTTTCCCCATGGCTTTCTGTTTCACCATCTTGCTGCTAATTATGTGGACTTGGATCAGATGATGCAGCCACAGATGACACTAGCACCTCAGGTGGCCCAGAGATTGGTGGGGCTGCCATGTCTGGGCTCCCCAGAGAGGCCCGCAGGGAAATGCAATTTGGTTGTGGACTTGTCTCTGTCCTTCTTTCTCTCTTCCTGCTAGCACCCTCCCCCACCTTGGAGGTGCTGTCTCCACATCTCCCAGAGTCTCATTTTCTCATTTAGGGATTCCCTGCTGCAAAGTCCCATTGCCCAAGCCCAGCAGGGCTGATGAAGTATTTAGAACGGGTCCCCACCCAAATGCAGACTTACTTGAAAAATTGATCATGAATACCCAAAACTGTTTTACAAAGCTAAACTTGGCTGATTTCCCCAAATGGCTCAAACTGTAATCTTTGTATACACTTTTTACTGTCTAGAAGACACTTTCATGTACTAGATCAGGCGAGCTGTAAAACGACCCCAGGAAGTGGGGGTGGCTGTGGAGAAGCAGGTGGTAGATGATTTACACAAGACAGAGGAAATGGTGGCAGGGCCTGGATCTACCTGGTTCTTCCAGCATCTCCCTGCTCTGTATTTTGCCTTGAAGTGTGGTTATTGGTGTCCTCAGGCACTGTAGTCAATCTGACAACCTGACCCCCAAACTAGGTCTCAAGCAAGTGGATATTAATGATAAGTGTTGAGAGCCACAGCCGATGGCTCTCAACAGATAAGGATGCCAACATCCTAGGCAGAGTCAGTCTTCACTATGTGCAAAGGATTGTTTTCATATCATCTCACTTAATATAGCAGCCCCTGGAAACATGTTTTACCAGAGTAATCTCACAACGGAGTCTCCATGAAGGTTTCACCATCATAACTGCTGCTGCTTGGATCTATAGTCATGTTTGTTTTAAGCTCACGATCATCCACAGTTTCTGTGTTGGTCATTGACTGGGTTCACGTAACTTGTAGCGACTCACATGGTGCCAGACTGATGTGCGGTAAGCTCACAATAAGCCCTAGGTTTTTCTTTCCTTTCCCTTGAGGCTTGGGACCTACCCACACCCATCCTTGTGCTAGTTAATCTCTTTTATTGCATAGGTTGATTCTCAGTAAGTGTTTATTGAGTTAACTGGAAGTCAAAGCTAACAGGGGCACAAACTGTGGCTCTCTTGGGCAAGTATGGAAAATAATGAAGACCTAGGCTGTCACATGGCAAAGGTCATGTGACATTATACTAGGTTAGAGTATAATGATACTAGGTCTATGGCTTCAGTCTCCAACCACTATCTCCTGGTTCTTCACCCAGTCTCTGGCTGCCCCTTCTCGTCCTCCTCTGCATGTGTCTCCTTGTTTGCCTTCATGCTACTGCCTATGTCACGCACAGCACTGATTCTGCTCCTATAGGTGCATATATATCCTTACACCCACTCATCTCGAAGCCTCATCTTAAAGTTAGCACATCTTGTACTGAATCTATTATTCCCTCATCCCACTTAGGTGCTCTTTCTTTTAAGTTCATTTGAATAATTTCCAGGAATGGTGGTTTTATTATAAGGATACATATATAGGAGAACATAGAGCTCAGAACACAAAAATCAAATCAGATCTTTGGGGAAGGGAAACCACAGTAGGTCAGGAAAAGTGAGACCCCAGAGTACCTTGGAAGGTCAGCAGGAGGAATGTGTGTGTGCCTAGTCTGGGTGCCATTGCTAACTTTCCCAGCTCTCCTCCAGGGTCTGCCCCACTTGGCACTTGCTGAGTGGATGATCCCCCTGATAGGGCGAGCATTTTTGTTTTTACCTTAAAGCTTCTGCTATCAGGTAGACTCTTCTTTCTCATCTTGCTCATGGCTGGGTCTACTTCTGCATAACTCAGCTTGCCTCCCTACCCTCGTGGGTAGGGCAACTCTAGCTCAGGGAATCTTGGAGCAGCTTTAGATTTTACTGAAGCCTGCCTCATTCTCTTAGTATTTTTGAAGTTCAAATGAGAGAGAATCTGATCATCTAGCACAGATGTTTCCTGCCAGATCACCTCATTGGTTGTTGCATAGCGTATGAATTGGCTACCCTCATGTCAAGAGCATACTGATCCAATCTGTCAGCTGTGGCCAAGGGTAGGACCATGGGCTGCCTTTTTCCAGAACATTTCAGTTACCCTAATATCTATGTTAGGTTTATTCACCTAACGTAGATATTAGGGTATCTACATTATATGATTACATGTAGTCATATGATTCCGTTTACATGTAATGCTCAAAGTAGGCAAATCTGTAGATAGAGAAAATAATTAGTGGTTGCCTAGGGCTAGGGGTGAGAGTAGGGGACTGAAGAGGGACAGTTACAGAATATGCATTTTCTTCTGTGGTGATGAAAATGTTCTGAAATTGATTGTGGTGATGGTTGTACAATTTTGTGACTGTCTTAAAAGCCACTGACTCTTACATTTGTATGGTAAGTGAATTATTTCTGAACAAAAAAAAAATTTTAAAGGATTTCATAGAAGCAATTTTCTCGGGAGTAGCTGAGGACACAGCAGAAACCCACGTCATCCTTAGTTATTTATCTTAATAAATACCTTTTGCTTTTTAGCACATCTTGCCAAATTAAAACCTTAGAATTCATTCTGACATCCCTTGCTTTTTCAGTCCAAAAGCTACCTCTTTCCTTGATTCCAGCTTTTGGTGCAGTCGTTGGTTCTTTCCTCTGTGCTCCAAAAACATCTGATACCTGAGCCTGACACCACTTATCTATATTATAGCTGGTGCTTTGCCAGCAAGCCCTGCTGCTGGACTCTAATCTACTGAGAAGCTTGCACCTCCACATCCTTGCCTACTGCCTGCCTCCTGAGGAGCCTGAGAGCTTCTGGTACAGCTGGGATGGATGGATGGGATGGATGCAAAGAGAGAGCCTCTTACTGTCCCTGTCCATGACCACTACCTGCTCTTAGAAATCCTACCTATTGCATCAAAGATACGTGTCCAGGACAGAATGAATGAGGACAGGGTGGATTAGTGGCATCACCACTGTTTCCTATTCGAGAATCCAAAGCACAAATGAGACTCATGTGGTTCAGCCATGACTGCCAGAGTAGTTACCAGGCACAGCTGGCAAGCTCCTGAAGACTCAGTTTCTGCTCACTGTGATGAGGTGTTTCTGATGTGCCCTGGGGCATGACGTACTGTTGAGGGTAAGAGCAGACCCAGTGACTAGAAAT